GCGGACCCCTGCCAGAGCCTCGCCGCGGGGCCCGTCTGATAACTCCCGTCCGTCCCCCACGTCTCTCTTGCTACCTGCCCGTTGGCGCAGAAACCCCTTCGGCATCCTTTACCTGCCGCTCCGCGGGGCTGCTCCGACGTCCTCCCTCGGTAGCTCCGCCGGCGGCACATCGTTTGATACGATTTATTTTTCTCGGCGCCTTTCCTTGCCACTGGTTTCTGCTGTGCAGGATTGACCTGTTTTCCCTCGTCTCCTCGGAGCGTTAAAGGGGAACCAAAGAGTTTCTTGAAAGAAAATGTAACCACCCAGCCGAGGGCAGGGCGGGCCGTATCTGCCGGGGCTGGGAGGGACATCGTGTTCCACCTGCAACGCAGGGAAGAATATAATATTGCTGCCGCATCAGGTTTTCTAGTGACCTGCCAGGATATGACCGGCGATGCAGCTCCAGTCCTTCCGCTCCAGTGAATTGGGGTTATCTGCAGCCCGGGGCTGATGCGTTCCCTCTTTGACATCACAAGGCTTGTTTTTTTATTCTGAGACATTTAGTACTTCTTCATGTACAAGAAAAATCTGTATGTGTGGGACTCATCTGCGTGCACACTTGCTCCCTTGTGTCTGCGGATCTGGAGACTGCGTATGTGGAAGGGCTCGCTCAGTAATTTCCCCGTGCCATCACCCCAGCTTGGCTGTGCAGCGTGGTCGCGGGGTCTCCAAAGCGGCCTCGCGTTCCAGCCGTGCGCCTGGGAGTCTCGCTTGGTTGAGATCTGCCTGCTTCCCCGTGCTTTCCTGCAGCCCAGGCTCTTCCTAACCAAGCGTCAGCCCGTGACCAAAGCATTTGCTGGAAAGTTAAGAAAAAGACAAAAGAATAGTGCCGTATGCATTCAAATGCCCTCTTATATTTGGTGTTTGCTCCGGCTTCCCTGAGGCACCTGTCCCGGGGGAACAAAAGGCTGAACTGCTATTACCAGGGTTATTTCCATTCCTTCCCCAGCTCCTCTCTCTGGGCCACGTTATTTACAACACTTCAGTTCTTGTTAAAGTTGCCATTGAAACGTAGTCAGGGACTTATTTTTTCTGAACTGATTGTGGATCCGAGGCGGTTTTCTCTGTGGCTCCTCTGCCCAGCATGAGGCCAGGAGCTGCCACCACTGCTGGGACCCTATCGATGCCAGTGGCAGGATGTGAGGCTGGAGCAATCCCTTGGATGAAGCAGCCCAGTGCTGGGGAAAGCCGTGATCTGCTGCTGAGCAGCAGCTGAGCTCCAGCTCCTTTGGGATGCTCTGACTC